TTGTTGTTGTTGTTGTTGTTGTTGTTGTTGTTGTTGTTGTTGTTTTTTGTTGTTTTTTTGTTGTTTTTGTTGTTATTGCTCGTCTCTCCTTCTCTATGTCAGAGTCTTTCTATCGGTCTCTATTCCTGTCTCTGTCGGTCTGCCTGCCAGTCCGTTTTCTCCTCGTCGGTTCTCTCTCACTCTCTCTCTCCCTCTGTTTTTCTCTTCCGCTCGTCGCCCCCCCTATAGCTCACTCCCCTTCCCGCCACACGGGGTTGTGAATCTCAGACCTCGCAAAACGGTCGCCAATTGCAGAGCATGGGGGCCAATCTTAAATGTTGCGCGGTGAGCCGCATACGTTCTTTGATGCCACATTGGTGCAATTATGCGCTCGCCGTTGTCGTTGGGTCCTCCTCCTCTTCCTTCTCCTCCTCGTCCTCCTCGTCCTCCTCCTCGTCCTCGTGCCTTTCTTCTTGCTCCTCCTGTCCTTCTGTCCTCCTCCGCCCCACTCCCGTTTCTCTCGACTGTTCCAGGTTTTCTGCGCCACGGTGCCTGTCGTCGGGGGGGCCGTGGGCGTGGAGCGGCTGGGGGTGGGGGTTGTGTTAGGTGGGGTTGGCGCTGGGTGGGTGTGTGGTGTGCGGAGGGTCAGGCGATCTCAAACATGCATCAAGGGGGCGTGGATTAGCGACGGGTCCCATTTCCAGGGGAAATCGCTGATTTCCGCTGCCGAACGGGGCGGGACTTGCCGCATTTTGGAGAGGGCACCTCCCCCGATCCATAGACGTGGCGACCGCGCGCCAAATCCATGGATCGCTAATCCATGCTTGCGCGCCCCCGAGTGGGGGGGGGCGCAGCATGTGTTTGCACGAAAGGGAACGGTTTTGGGAGGAATGCTCGTCGTGGAGAGCTTCCTGCCCAGCACGGAGGCCGAGGCGGCCTCGGCTCGCTCCTCTTGCAGGCTGGCTCGTGGAAGCGGAGAGGGATATCCGGGGTGTTCCTAGAGAGAGAGAGAGAGAGAGAGAGAGAGAGAGAGAGAGAGAGAGAGAGAGAGAGAGAAAGAGAGAGAGCAGTGGGCACAGGGGGGAGGCGGGGAGGCGGCGTGGGAGCAAGACGGGGACGTGGATGGCATGGAAAGATTGCTTCCGTGAGCTTGTTCCTTACCAGGGCTGGACCTAAACGGTGTTTTGGCGATTTCGTGGGCCGTTTTCGTTTCGATTTCGTTTTGCGGTAAAGGCGGATTGAAGACAAAACGAGGGCAAACGAAAACAAATCGAAAGCGAACAACACCGTTTAGGTTCAGCCCTGTTCCTTACTAGCGTTAGGCTCGAGGTATTCCATGGATGTACAAAAGAGACCACAGAACAGTCCCACCAGGGGGACGGGGAGCACGGGACCGCTCCTCCAGTTCGTTTGGTTTGACAGCCATTTCGCCCGTGCCCTCTTCACAATTTCTTCAGGAATCGTGCTCCAGCCTGAATGGCGGCTGCACATTTCTGGTCTGGACGGCCACGATCCTTGGTACAGATGACACAAGGGCGCACATGGCCGTGCTCTCACCCCTGTCCCCGCACGTTCTCACTCGCCGACCTACTCCCCGACCCGCCTCTTCGCCTTTGCTGTTGTGAGGGTGCCTTTCTGGGTTGATGGGGGTCTCAGCTTTCCGTCGGTCGGGGCCCGCCTCGGCAGCCTCCAGGCCTCCTGCGTAGATGGGGTCGGAGTAGATGAGGTCGGGGGATCGCGCCGCATCGCCGATGCATCGGCGATGCGGCTCGATGTGGACCCCGATTTTCTCCGCGCCGACGGCGCCTTTGTCGCCAGTGTATCGCAAATGCATCGCCGATGCATCGTCGATGCATCGGCGCTGCGGCGCGACCCTCCGACCCCATCTACTTCGACCCCATCTCGGAGGCCTAGAGTCTGCCGAGGCGGGTCCCCGACGACAGAACGCTGACACCCCATCTAGGAAGCCTCTACAGCCGGAGGCCTTCGACCCCATCTAGGAGGCCTCTACAGCCGGAGCTCGATGAGAGCCTCCAGGACAGGACGGCGGTACGGATGCCCCGATCGGTGTCGGGAGGGCCACGGGGCAGGTCCGTCTCTCGATCGGCGCTGCGGCGACCCCGCCGAGGGCTTTCGGGGTGGAGCGCCGCCAGTGGCCTTGAATCGGCCAATATGGAAAGATCTGGCGATCGAAAATACGGGGCCCAAAGGTCACCACCACCACCGCCACCACCCACCACCACCACCCACCACCCACCACCCACCACCACCACCACCACCACCAGCACCACCACCACCACCACCACCAGCACCACCACCACCACCACCACCACCACCACCACCACCACCACCACCACCACCACCTCCTCCCTCATCCCCTCCCTCTCCCAGGAAAGAGGAGGGGAATATGAGTGTGCATGAGGGAGGGGGAGTGGAGATGGTGGTTGTGTATATTGTTGGGGCCCGCAGAAAGCCACCGATCGTTAAAGCTTGAACGATCCACGCGGTGTCAAGGACCACCACGCAAGTCGACACGCCATGAACCTGCCGTGCGTTGCATGCCCGTCCCAGGATCCACTTCGGAGGATCGCAGGGCCGTCCACGATTCGATCGATCTGAAGACGCGTGCTGGCGTCTGCGCGTGGCACCGATCTGTGCGATCACGCGAGGTGCCCCCAGGGGTGGTTTCACTCCTCCACGGACCAGGCTAGATTTGATCGATTCGGTCATGCAAGCGGTTCGACCGATCGGTGACCTGAGGTTAGCGTCGGGACGGCCACGGAGAGCGGGAAGTGATGGCGAGAGGTTTTTGCTGTGGATTGTGACGCTGAAGAAGCTGAGAGCCTGTCAGCAAAAGCTGGCACTGCAACTAGCAGAATCTTCAGTGAGACTGAAGAGGTGTGTTCGGGCGCTAATTTAGCAAGCTCAGCAGGCGGGACTCGTCGCCCCGAAGCGCCGAGGCTACGGGGAGAGGATGTGGGGGGAAACCGCATGGCTGAACGATGGGGCATCAGCGACGGGTGGGCGCGGAAAAGGTGCTCTGCGACCACGCTGCGCCGCCGCGCCTGAATCCTCCTCGCGCCTCTTCGCCTCCTCCCGCCTTTTTCCCATCTGCTCAGCATGCCCCCCTTCCTCGCGTCTCCCCTTCCTCTCTTCGCTTGACCTTCTTCACGCCTCATTCTCGCCCCCCTCCTCCGTGTCTCCTCTCCTTCCTCTCCTTCCCCTCCTTCCTCTCCTCCCCTCTTCCCCCTGCCCTCTCCAGCCATTTTGCGCCGAGCCGCTTTTGTGCCTGCAGAGAGGCGGGACGGTGCTGGGGAGCGCCAACTTCAAAGTGGCACTGCGCTCTCGAGCTGATTTATGGGCTTGCAGCGGCTGCAAAGCTCGGAACGGGGCAGGCTACGACTTCTGCTGGAAGTGCTGGAAGGTTCGAGACTCCGCGAAGACCACGAACCACGGTGCGACCAGCACCCAGGATGATGCTGACGCCGACGACGCCACCAAAGCGAAGCTCAAGAAGTTACGGGTGCACCTGGCAGAACTTCGGAGCATGCGGAGGACCCAGACTTGGCAAAGCACGTCCAGGGCAACATCGACATCGTACAGAAGGAGGTTGATGAGTTGCAGGCAGCTGTCGACAACGGCAGCGACATCCCTCGTTGTTTCTCGGAGTGCAAGCTCGTACGAGAGAGGAACAAAACGCAGGCACAGCGGGAGCGCACTCAGGAGCGCGTCGAGAAGCTGGAGGAGGAAATCAAGGAGGCCCAAGAGAAGCTTGAGAAAGAGAAAGCACTCCTGGCCAGACAAGATGAGAAGCTGCAGAAGCAGAGAGCCCGCGTCGAGGAGCTCAGCGTGCCCAAGGCGGGCAAGGGCTGGGGAGCGGCAGTGTCCTTCTGGAGCAAGCGAAGAAGTGCCTGCGCGAGCAGGAGACCGACGCCAAGATCGCCGAAGCCCTCAAGCACGCGCAGCAGCATCGCACCGTCGAGGAGGAGCGGGCTGCCGCGGCAGCAACGGCAGCAGCCGCCAAGAGGGAGGCCGACGCAGCCCGCGAGGCCGCCCAGGACAAGCAGCAGAGGAACAAGCGCAGAGCCGAGGAGGAGATCAAGCAGGAGCTGGTCTCGTTCCCCCAGAACGCCGACCAGGCGCAGATCACCAAGATCATGCACGAGGCGGGCTGTGCGGCCGAGCAGATCGAGCGCCACAGGCCTCATCTTCTTCCTCTGCTGGCTGGCATGCAGCCAGACACATCGCTCACCATCGGCAAGAGTATGTGGACGGCCCCGCCGTCATCCTGACAAAGAGCGAGGGCAGGGGTTCAGCGCCATCAGCGCGAACCCCACTGGCACGCTGGAGCGCGCCATGCGGACCACCAGGTACATGCGCAGGTATCACGCGGGTATGGCGGAGGAGCTGCAGGCCAACGAGCACAGCATCTCCTGCGTCAGCCAACGGATGCAGAAGGAGGGCTGGAGGCTGTGCAACGTGCCGAGCGTCCGCACCGCGCGGGGGGGCTGGAGAGCGCAGCTGCTCCTGGCAACCGTGCGGCCAAACAGCATGAGCTACGTCATGGGGCCCGACGCGAGGGGCGACCCGCCCTGCGAGTCCAAGGGCGGCCCGGCGAAGGGCAGGATGAAGGCTGTCGGCAAATGCAAGGCAGGCACGGCGCGCCTCTGGGGCAGCGAGGGCACCCCGCGGAACTTCACCGCGGCCGCCGCAGGGGCGGGGAAGTACTGGATCCAGGGCGACGACGTCGACATGGACCCAGCTGAGCTACAGCGCACAGGGGTGAACAACAGGATGGACGGGGTCATCGTGTTCGACACTCCGCGCGGCTCGTGCGTCACATTGGGGGAGGCACGGTGCCGCGACCACTTCATCATGGGCAACGCGTGCGAGGAGCACTCCAGGAAGTACTTCAACTACGTCGGCCAGGACGGGCAAGAGGGCAATAGCCACTTGGTTTGCGCCCAGAACAACGCCAAGGGTATCCTTGGGAATGGCATCATCGAGTCGCTTCTCGAGCGGGACTACCTAGCATGGCGGGCGATGCCAAATCAGGGGGAGGGCAACGTAGACGCCATGGACGAGCAGGAGAACTCCGACAACCTGGACGAGTTAAGCTACACAGGATGCCGAGTCGAGGGGGGGCAGCGCGAGCCTCCCAGAGAATGCTCCTCGGCGGGCCCCCGCTGTCCTCGGCCTCACGGCTTCGCAGGACTGCCCGTTGGTCGGGGCGAAAGCGGCAAGGGGGCGCCGCCGACCGACGGGGCGGGGGCGACGCACGGACATCGATTGGGGCAGGGTGGCGACCACAGCAGCCTGGATCGACGCCGAGCACATCGTTCAGAGAGGCTTGCACCACGTGGACAGCGTGACCAAGCTCATGGGGGAGACCAACCGCATGCCCCACGCGAGTCGTTGGGGGGGCGGCTAACAAGCGAGCCCATGACTGGGCAAGCCGAGGGAGATCGCGGGCACGCGCGGCCCATGCACAGGCCCTCCATTGCGAGGCTGCGCGGGCCGACGGGCACCGCCACGAGGGGACCTACTTCGGCCTGACCAAGTGCTTCGAGTGGGTTACTCAGCGGAAGGTATGGGAGGCGTCGCAGCGACGAGGCGACAACCCAAGCATCATGCGGACGGACCGCAAGATGGACAGCATAGGGCGGCACGGCGTCCTGGACGGGGGCTACGCTGAGGGCAAGGCTGGGCAGCGGGGCTTCGAGGCGGACAGCTGGCACATACCGTTCGGTCGCCAGACGGTCATCATCCTCGAGCTGGACAGGCTGGCGCACCAGGATTGCTGGGCGAACGTGCCCCTCCACGTCGGGGACCGCGCCGCAGCCGCGCGCGGCAGGCGCGAGCACGTCGGCGAGGACCACCCGCAGCCCATCGCCGCCGTGAGCTCCAGGATCGTGACGGCCGTGGACAGGGCGGTCTCAAGCGGCACGGAGGCGAAGACGGTCACCCCGGCTTCCTCCGCTGCGGGGAGACACCGCAACAACAAGAATACCAGGTACCTCAGCGCGAGAGTAGTCAAGCACGAGAAGCACCTGGGAGGCACTGCAACAGCATGCAGACGGAGTAGAGTGGCGGCCATCAACAAGCGGGCGCCGAAGTTTGCAGAGAAGAAGGCACGGGTGACAGCCGCGCGCAGAGCGGGAGGAGTGACATGCGAGCTGGGCGGCTCGAGGCAGTTCGGCGACTACGCACCGCGGAGACGAGGAGGAATCAGCCTCACCAAGCTCAAGGACAACGGTGAGTACGACATGGACGACGGGGGCTACGGGCCCCGCCCTGGCGCGCTGAGGGCCCAGAGCATCTTGCGGGGGAAGATCCACGCGCGGCGGCAGGCGCCGCAGGCAGGCACCCCGCCCATGTTCATCTGCACCGACAGCCAGAACGTCATCGACGGCGTGATGGCGGGACCGTCGTGGCTCGACAAGAGGAGCCACCTGCACCTCGACCACTGGGAGTGCATCGTCCAAACCGTCGCAGAGTGCGGAGGCTTGGGCCCGCGCACCGTGCAGGTGCAAGGGCTGAAGGCCCACGCGACGCGCGCCGAGCGAGCAGCAATCGGCAGCGCGCAGTGGGAGGGCAACAAAACAGCTGACCATGCAAAGCAGGGAGCTCTGCACCATACTCACGCAGTTTGGTGCAGAGGAATCCACATTCTGAAGTATCGGCGGGCTCGGGACGTCCTGGAATTCGGAGCCGCCTATGTAGGCTGCCTGGGCCATCACACTGTCGACTCTGAGCAGGCTCGAGTCCGACGGATTCGACCCCCCCGACCCCCCCTCCGTCCTCCTGGACCTTCCTGGGAACCTGGGGGCGGTCGGGTGCGTGTGGGGTAGGGCCCTGGCGGCCCCCGACCCCACCGCCCCGCCCCTGGTGGCGCTCCTCCTGTCTCGGTCCGTTCTGGACTGGGGGTACACCAGGGTCGACAGGGGCCAGAGAGCGGGGCACAAAATCGTGACCCGCAGCATGCAAGTCTTCTGCCGCAAGTGTACCAGATACGCCCGCGACAGGTGGACGGGCCGTTTCTCCCCACGCAGCCCTGGGGCCCAAAGGGTGATCGGGGGTAGGCCGACACGGTTGTGGAATGGACAGCACCCTTCCACAAACCAGCCCCTGTAGGGGCTCTTGGAGCTGAGGGTCTGGTTCGGGGACGGCCCGAAGCGGCCCGACGCTCCCACGGCACGAAAGCGTAGGCGGTCGCGATCCGTTTTGGCCCGCACTCATCCGCACTCATCCCTGCCCTCCCCCCCTCCCCCTCTCCCTCCCTCTCCCCCTCCCCTCGCTCTTCCCCCTTTCAGGGCCTCCGCTCCCCTCCGTCCTCCCTCCTCGCTCCTCGCTTCCTTCCACTTCCCTCCTCCGTCACTCCTCCCTCCCTCCCTCCTCTACCTCCCCTCCTCTCTCACCCCTCCTCCCCGCCTCCGCCCTCCTCCAGTCGCCCTGCGACGGCCTTGCGCAAACCCTTGGGCTCGCCAGGAAAAGCTCAGGCCCGGCGACGTGCTGATGGAGGCGCCCGGGGGCGCGCGCCTTCCTTCTCCGCGCCCCTCCTGCAGTAGGAAGGAATGCCCCGATTTCTAGAAGTCCCAACCCTTTCCCCAGGGCCAGCTTTCTTATACAGGGCCGTTTTTCTATGGCTCGGGGGCCCAGCGAGGGGCCCCAAAGGCCGAAAATTGTAAAACACGGCCGTCGTGTTTTTTTCACGACGCGGGCATGTTTTGGTTTTTGTTGTATAGGAAGGAACAGGGATGGGAGGGGAGGAGGGAGAAGGCAGTGGGATATGGTGGACGGGGGGGGGCCTCCTCCGGAGTCTCTGGAGAGTCTGGGCCGCAAATTTGCCGCCGCACTCTTCCTCACGGGAGGGCCACCGCCGCCGGCCTGTGGGGTGGGGCAGAGTTGGGGTCGGGGGCGGCGGTGTAGATCCCCTAGGCCCAGGCCCCCTGGCGAAGTGAAGAAATCGCGACGTGAGGTCTTCGGCTGTTTCCGGCCTGGGGCAGTGGAAAAACGACTCGGGATGGAAAGCTGGCCCTGGGGAATGGGTGGAGACCTCGGGGGCCGACGTTGTGAACAAGTGATGAGGTCGGGGGTCTGGGGAGGTGGGGTCGGGGGCGGCGGCGCATGTCCTCCAGGGCGCTTTCGCAGGGCGCCCCGCCACCCCTGCATCCCGCCCGAGCGGCCCATCGTGCGTTCCCGCGGGGTGGTGCTCCCCTTTCCCCCCCCTGTTCGTGCGAGAAGGGGGGGGGACCTGGCGGAGCCTGGCCCGACGGCGCGGGTGCCCCGTGCGGGGAGGCGGAGCCGTGGGCGGCGGGGTCTCTGGGGCCCAGAGGGGGGCCACCGACTGACGTCGCGGGGAACGGCGGCTCCGCTCGCTCCTGGCCGTCTCCCCGCGCCCCGTGCGCCGGGGCCCGAGTCAGGAGCGGCCGCTCCTGCGCCAGGGGGAATGTTCAAGCAGAGTACAAACATAGTCTGGGGACGATTTTTTGCTTTTGATAGTTTACGTGTATTATGGGAGTATTTTTTATTTTTCGTCGAAAATCCTCCAGTCGGGGGACACGCTCCATTTAGAGCTACATGTCGGGAGCGAAACAAGGGCGTACACGCACGTGAATCCACGTTGGTTTCGAGAGTGCGCCTTGCGCGAACGTTCGCGTCACGCGGCCGGCGTCGCAGATTGGGCGGCCGTGCTCATGTACGCGGTTGGTCGCGTGTGGGATCCCCAACATGGCGAACACAGCGACAAGTGCTTCGCATGATTGTACGAGTGCCACGGCGCACCTTTGCAAGCATTATCGTCCAAGCATTACAGCAAGCATCCGGTTCTTATAACCAACAGCCAGAATGACGGCAACGCTTTGAACTCCGACGAGGACGACTATGGATGTGATGTGGACGGCGAGCCACCGACTGCTACGCCGAGTGTTCCGTATGATGAAGGTGATGTAAACGCTGACAATTCGGAGCCATGGATGGATTGAATCAAGGGGGCCACCCACAAGGCGGAAACGGCAATCGCAAATCGACGAGTCAATGACTGGGTATCGACGGTGCGGCGCAGAAAAGTGCAAATGCGTTCGGAAATTGAGTGCCACGGAAAAACAGGAATGGATGCGACAGGTAATTCAGTGGGTTCCACAACATGATGTGGTTAATCATGCGAAAACGCAGGGCGGGAAGGCCCACCACCAGATGGATCGATGACAAGAAAGCATCTCGAGTATTTCCTTTGGTGTGACGATGAGAGTAGCTCAACGATCCTCACTACGGCATCGGTAGATTATTGGGACGATGTTGGGGCAAACTTTCCGTCGCACCATGTATGAATACGCTGCGCCAAGAGAAAAACGCAGACGTTACATTTTACATCCAGCATCTATCCTTCCACTTCGACCTCCAACTACCGACATCCAGCCTCCACCAGTGCAGCTTTCCGACCCACATCTTCCAGCATCCGACCTTTCGCTTCCACCTCCACCTATCGACTTCCAGCCTCCACCTGTTCAGCATGCAGACTTCCAGCATCTAGCTTCCGACTATCCCCCCACACGTTTTTTCTATTGACTTCCACCCCCCACCAGTTCGGGGGTCCGACCATCAGCTTCCAGCATCCGACTTCCATTCCCACTTCCGCCTATGGACCTCCAGACTCCACCAGCCCAGTACTCTTATCTCCACCATTCAACGTCTGAGTCTCCATTTCCACTTCGTTCCTACCGATTTCCAGCCATCACCAGTTTAACATTCCGACGTCCAGCCCGCAGCAGACTGTTCACTTCGATCTCCGCCTATCGACCAAACAACCCTACCAGTGCGCATCTCTGACTTCTGGCTTTCAGCGTCCAGTTTCCCACCTCCACAACCACGCCCACCTATCGACTTCCAGCTTCCACCAGATCTGCACTTAGATTTCCAGCATCCACTATTCGTCTTTGCACCTTCAGTTCCGACAATCGACCTCCAGCCTCCAACAGTTCAGCATCCCGATTTTCAGGCTCGAGCATTCCACCAGTTCAGCCTCCAGTTCAGCATTCCACCACCCCCGCCGATCCAACCAGCTACAACTTCAACTTCCGGTCTGCAACTTCCAGCATTCAAATTTTCAGATCCACCTCAACCAGCGTCAACTTCCACTTTCGACTTCCGACTTCCACTTTTACTTCCGGCGCCCAGAGTTCGATTTTCGACCTCCACTCCCGACTATCCACTTCCAGCCTCCGTCAAATGAGCACTCCGACCTCCAGCGTCCAGCATAAGACTTTGAAAGGCCACCTCCAACCATTGATTTCAGTTTCTACCAGCTCAACAGCCCAACCTCCAGCTTCCAACATCGAACTTACCACTTCCAGCTCCACCTGCCGACCTCGACCCCCCACCAACTCAGCATTCCGACACTTAGTCTCGAGCATCCGATGTCCCATGTTCACTTCCACCTCGCGTCGAATATCGAACATATACCCAGTGCAACATCGACGGATTTTTGGCACTATATTGGCTCACAGTTCACGTCGCAGCAAATATGAACAAGCTGCGCGGATAGCTCGGATATGTCAGTATACCACAACGGAGCTTTGGAACGAAATCTAGTTGGATTTCTGATGGGGCTTCATCTTCTGGGGTGCTCCGGGTGCGGCGCTGGGGCGCCGCACCCGCAGCACCCCAGAAGATGCCCATATGCGGGCGTGCTTCGTGCTCCGTGCTAACATGGGATGCAGTCTCAGGCTTACCCTGGGATGGACGAAGTGAATTCAGCGGGAGGGTGAAGTATGAACGGTCAGGCGAACATATGTAGGATGGTCCATTCATGGGCCGGATGTCATAAGGCCGGGAGGCCGAGTTCGGCCGCAAGGACTACCGACCTGGGGGTGGAGAGCGAGTTGTGTCTCGGCGTCGAAGTTTCCACTCCTGTCGCGGACAGGAGGGCCTGCTTTGCCGGTCCGGCGTGTCCCGCGGTTCGGGGCGGGCGAATTCCTCAGAGTTTCTTCTGGAGGGGTTCTCAGCGCGCTCCTCGGATGGCTGCCCAAAAAGCTCCTTAGTGGGCTCCTCAGAGGGCTCCCCTGAGGGCTCCCCTGAGGGCTCCCCAGAGGGCTCCTCGAAGGGCTCTCTAGAGGCTCCCCAAAGGGCTCCTCAGAGGTCTCCTCAGACGGCTCCCCAGAAAGCTCCTCAGATGGCTGGGAAAGGGGGGTAAGCAAAACTATGCCGCATGCAGCTGGTTTCGGCTCCGCCGCCAGGCCCTTTGCTTTATATATCAGCGTATGGAAGTGACATCCCTGCTGACTTTTGGAAGCGGCTTGCGCCCGCGACACCCCAGCGAAAGCGTGGGCCTTAGCAGTGTTCCGGCGATGCTGGGACCAGGGCGCAGTGCCAGACGCTTAGCAGTATTTTAGTGGTTGATGCGTTCAAGAATGGAGACGGTACGCTCTGCGGCAATTGCAGACCACTCATTGTGCCTGCCCCAGGCTGGGTGCAACTTGTTCGCGACTGTCCTCCTCCGCCGTTTGAAAGACGCCAGCGCCGAGGGCCGCATCTGGAGCATCCAGTTTGATTTTGAATCGCGCCACGGCTCCACGGACGCCATTGTCCTCGCCAGGCGACGGCTGGAGGAGACGTGGGCGAACACAGAGGGCCAGCTCGTGCATCTCGCTCTTGACTGGGCCATGGCGGTTGCTCGCGTCATGTCGACGCCCTGCTGAAAGCGTTGTAGCGCTTCGGAGTCCCAGAGGACATGTTGACAATTGTTCGGGCCATCTGCACGGGCTGGAAGTTCATGGTTCGCGAGGCCAGCGCAACGTCAGGGGCCCCCGAGCAGCACGCGGGAATTTGTCAAGATTTTCGTCTGCTTCTTGTCTTCTTCGCCATGTTGATGACCGCACTGCTGCTTGACGCCAGGGACATGCTGAAGGACCGCACGGGACTCACGGATGAGCTCGTGTACGCCGATAACACATTCATCGTGGCCAACAGTTCGGAACGTGCGCAGGCGTACCTGGAGGCTATAGCTGCCGCTGGCGCTAACTGCGGCCTCAAATTGACTTTGTGCAAGTTTGAACTGTCGCCGATTTGATGCCAAGGACACGTGACGAGTCCAGACGGACCATGGTATGCTCGGGAAGCGTCTTGGTGGCCGATGGACGCATTGCTTCTGAGCTGGGCAGGCGAATGGTCTGCGCCAGGTCCGAGTTCTACACCGTGGCCAGAGTCTGGTGCTATTCCTTCCTCCTGGAGCAGCGGAAATTGCGCTTCTTCGACACCTGCGCACAGACAAAGTTGTTGAATGGCTTCTACGCGGCGTGGCCGTGGAAACACACTTTGGCCAACATCGTCAGCTTCCACGTGAGGTGTTTGAGAAGCATGTCGAGGATACCGCACGTGTGCATCAGTCGCATTTCGAACGCTGTAATTCCGAACAGGGCCCGCCGGCCGCCCTTGAGTCGAATCTTCTTGCAGGCGATGATCCGGTGCGGCGAGCAGTCTTCCGGTCGTGTTCTTCGGACCTGCGTTCGCTGTCCGGCGGATGG